ATTTTTGCTCATATGTACTCAAAGTAACATTGCAAATGTGTTCAAAACTTCTGCAATTCTGTGAAAAATATCGCCCACCCTTTTCCTCTCCTTGTTGGTAACACAATGACGGTGTAGGTATGACAGTTAAGGGGAACAGGAGGGCCCTGCATGATATTTTCTACTAATTTTAAAGCACTCCCTCCCTTTATTACACTTTATTTCCTTATTATTAGCTGGTCTATGAATCTGTGCTTATGTACATAATTGGATAATAAGCATGTAACCAATAGGAAAACACATGTGTGCACACACACCACATACATATACACCACATGAACTATAATAACTGGAGAAGTATGGCACATTCTGCAGAAAATCAGTAAAGATCCACTTAATTGGAAATGGAATCGAAGGGGGGAAAAGTCACAATTCTTTATATGCATCTACCCCAGGGAGTTACGCAGCCTAGATATCCATAGAGGGCATGCTCAGTGAGAACACACACAGTACATATTTAGAGACATTTCTCATTTAATGTAGGCCCTGGGCCTAAGACCCCAGCTAATTTACAAGATTTTTCCAGGAAAGACACAGTTTTAGGAATGACAGTAGGTCTATGGCATTTACTTTTCCTGCAGGGGAAGCTATAACACATTCCCATCCTTCAAGAGAACCCAAGATTGATGACTTGGGGGTTTTGCTGGTTAGTGTTTTTTATTTCCTCCTTTTTTTCAGCTCCCTCCCTTTGTACCCTGCCTGGCAAAAATGTTCTCAGCAGTCAAGGAGAGAATAGCAGCACAGCTGCCCTTGAGCCGAGTTTGTAAATCCTATTGGGAAACTACCCCGCACTGTCAGATGGTGTGGTTTTCAGACACGTCTATACAGACTAGTTGAATTAAAGACCAACTCCAGACTTGATGTTGCTGAGCTCCTCAGCTCCATCTTGCCATCCTGATTGATCGAGGAGATGGGTCTATAGTTAAAGTGGCATAGCACTTTGAGGGTTTAGTCATTAGAGCACACTGCTTTCTCTTTGGAAGGTAACTTCTTGCTTGGCTAGGTTATGGAAGCTAAGGAGTGACGTCAAGATGTTGTCTGGCCAGAATTTGCAGATAACCATAGAACTCTTCTCCTCCATCAGGCATGGATTTAGCCTCCTTTAGTTCCTGCAGTGACACAGGAGCCTCCAAATACCAAATTATTATCAGGCGGTCTTGGGGGAACCTCTGGGCCCTGCAATAAAGTAGACAGACTTGCTATTGGAAAGCGCTCAGGAGCAATTCAGCCCTGTTCAGATTGCTCTAAAATCCTGCAAACCATCTCTAGATTTGGTAAATGAAAACCTGACATAGCTCCTGGTAGTAAAAAATGAATTCTGGGGATAGAATGTATTAACATCTTTCACTTAAATGATCTTACATATCATTTAAAGAAATCTGTTTTTGCTCATGTTTTGTTGTTGTTTGTTTTGCTTTGAAAGCAGAGTTACACAAGTTGGGAGGCTGAGTAATTTTTGAAAAGCCACTTCTGAGCATTGTCTGTAAAATAAAGTACCCTGAATCAATCTGGTATCATTTATTGTTCCCACCCAGTGTTATAAATCTTGGGAATTTCACATAAAATATTTTAATAAATGCCTGTTCTCACTAGAAAAATTAGAGTATCTAGTAATACCTGGCTCTGTTTCAGCACAGCCATCAAAATGCCATATCATATTTCTGATCTGGTCTGCTTCTCACATTGATTGACCTGCATAATCTTATAAGTAATTGGAATTTGGGACCCTTCCTCTAAGCTATCCTATTACAGTGCATTATAATTAAAGGATGATATCTTTAACCATTGGCCTCTTCTACAAGACCCCCTGAAGGAAAGCAACACACATGCCATCATTATCACCAAATCTGCAGTCCCTAGCACTGTAGAAGTATTATAGGTAGTCAATAAATATTTAGTGAATTGAACTTTGCTACATTAGATTCTTACAATTCAGTAAAATAAAACTGAGACCACTCTTTCTTTGTAAGATCACACAGCTATTTGAAAGCCAACATCTTTGGGTAGCCAAGAAGATTTAGAAAAAAGAAATAAGTATGCTTGCTTGTGGCCTAAGCCTCTGATAGGTCCAGAGGTAGGTGATGTACTGTTCAGGTGACATTTTGCTTTAAGCATGTGAGAAAAGTTCTAGACTTTTTGTGAGATGGTCTTAAATTTGTTTTCCAGATGAAACCTACCCAAGTTCTTGAAGATCCCTTCTCTAAAGGTTCTTTAGAGGTTAATTGTAAAAATATTCAATAGGAATCACTTAATTAAAAGATAATCTCACAAAGTTGTATAGGCCTATAGCAACAGATCTCTCTGTATGTAAGGTCTACGCATTTTAAAATATTTTAATTTCTTAATGCCTACAATCAGGATGTTCAAAGATTAGATTTTTTATTAAAATTTTATTCCTGCTAAAATTGTTATTTAAATCTGTTTAAATGGGCTAATATAGTATTGAAAACATGTCTAACAAATAAACTACTAGGTAGGCAAGTTTAGTAGGAATAAAGCCAATGAAAAAGGCTATGGTCATCTTTACATGTTGCAAGTCTGTTAGTAATTAACATTTCAAATAATATATAGCCACATCTGGTCAACATCTGGCCAACATTAAAAGTACCTCATGTCTCATGCTATGAAGGAATAATTCAGCAGATATAGTTTCTGCTCTCCAGGAGCTTACAGTCTAACATAAACAAGACTACAGAAACACACATATGAGAGTGGGCATACTCTTAACCAAAGGCAACAGATACGTTGAAAATAAAGGGAAAAATTAGGGGGTAAAGAATAACATTAAAAAAGGTTAAAGGTAAGGAGAGAAGTAAATTGCTTATTAATTCTCATTTCTTTAAAAAAGCATTCATGAAAGATGTATAATTGTAAATGTTCTTTAAATCATGAAAGAGTATATGACTTGAAGCCTAGAAGAAAAAAATTTTCTTCTGCTATAGGATACTGAGTGATGGAAAATACTAAGCTGAGTAAGGATGGCTGGGTGAAGAGCCTTGGACAACTGTCGAAGGAAGAAACCATCAAATGGAGAATCAATGGTCTGGATCCCTATAGTAGAGGACAGAAGCTGAGGGAGGCTACAGGTCTCCTCAAATGTCTTGCAATTCCTTCTAAAGGAGGTGGTATAGAGTGGTTAAGCCACAAAACCAAGACTCCTCCAAAACAATAAAAATTTGCAATTTGAAATCTTTATAAAAATCTCCATGTACTATATATTAAGGAAATGACCTGTGGAAAGTTTCTCGTGGGAGTCCTAAAGGAAGAAAGAACTTTTAGATAGAACCACAGACTTAGCATCTACATAGTCCACTTTCTTCTATAGGATCTCATTAATCTGTTTGTTTACTTGCTTTCTTGTGCATGTTTTTATTTTCTTTTATTGGACTTGTTGAGATGATGCTATCTGCTTGATTATTCAGCTTTATGTTTTCTTCTGTCGACAAAGGAGAGCAAACTCTTGAGGACAGGTTGATTTTAGTCAACCTCAATTATATAATACAGCCTCAGGCTTACTGAAGTATATTATATAGCCTGATACTAGTGGTGACAGGAGTGTCAAAGTACTGTGTTCCTAGGGAGAACAATCAAAATGATGCATGCTCTCCCATCATAATAGCTTGCTTTGCCTTATTCAATATTTGACTGCCTTGCAAGGGTATTTCAAAGACTTTTGGAGGATGCTTATCTCTACAAAGAATACACGTCTTTAAGAAATGCCTCCACATATCTTGTTAACACCATAATGACAAGGTTAGAATTAAAAATACCTTGATTTCAATTAATACATTTTATTTCAAGAAGCTCAATAGTCTTTGCATCTGCTATTCTATTTATCTTGTCATATTACATATTTAACTGAAATCTATGGTGGGGTCCAGACTTACATACTACAGACTTATAATTCTGTTCTTCCTAACAACTAAACTCAAATCCACTATGATAATATCTTGAGGTAAATTTGAATAAATAGTAGGAAATAACATGTGTTTTCTCATCTGTGAGCCAATCTGATACTCATTACTAAGCCACCTTATCCCATGAAGAGTAAGTGAAAAGTAAATCCCCAAATGCTAACTTTGTAATAGTTCTGCCTCACTTCTGAGGCAGTGCAGGACAACAGCATTTAAGATGGAGTGAAAATATGCAAATAAGCATAAGGTACCCATTATTCAGTGCCAGAGAACCCTGGGATATCGGCTTCCTTCATAGCTCCTTATTCATGTATGAGGGAAGTCCTGGAGTTCCACTGGTATAAGGCCTGCTTGTCCATTGTGATTTTATTTTTTTGTTGTCCTTAAGGTTGTGCTCCATTTTTTATATTGGAGCAATGTCCAAAAACAATAGAGTAAGAGTCTCTGAAAAAAATTTTAAGTTTTTGATAGAGGCTAATGGGTTAATTATGTTCTAAAAAATATGTCAACATACTTAACATGTTCTTTGCTATTGTGCAATCACAACAAGTTTCATGCTGAGAACTAGGACTAAACAAAGAACACAGAACTATCAGAACTGATACCACCTGTGCACAACATAGCACTTTCTGACTACCTAGAGCGTACATTTTAATGATTTTCAATAAACCAAATTTAAATCCCACCAATTGCCTGTCTTTCAGTAACTGATATAAGTGCATTCTAATGATATTTCTGGTTTCTTTCTCTAGCTTTTTCAAGATAAGCATGCCTTGATTCCAACTTCATGCTGACAAATGGTTTTTGGAAAATGGATTACAAGAGAAGCCAGTAACTGCCCACAGTCCCAAGCCCAGCAGGAGACACACCCTTAGAATTCCATAAGCAACAAAGTAAAGAATCTATTCCATGGTCCCAAAGCCCCAAGAATCCTGACATTTCACTGCCCCCCTTCCTTGAGTCAACCCTGTCAAGGGCTCTGATAAGCATGCTTATAGATACAGCTATGCAGCAAATGGGCCAATAAGTATAAACAGCTGTACTTACATGTGTCTGGCTTGAGCTGACTGTTGGTGATGCCAAAGTACTGGGGATTTTCAATGACAGGGATCTTGGTCATTCCAATGATGACGGCATCAGGGCCGCCTTCTGAAGACGATGGGGTGTTACTCCCGTTGGAGATGTGATGAAGCGGGCTGGCAGAGTCGTCATCATTGCTGATAACTGAAGCTGGGCCTGGAGTTGGAAAAAATACACACTGCTCTGTAATGCTTTAATGTCTTTGTAACTCACATACATAGCATTCACCCACTGAAAGTGTGCAATTTGCAGAGTTTTAGTATATTCACAGAGTCATGGAATCATCAATATACTCTTATTTTAGGACATTTTCATCATTTCAAATAGCTGTCATTTTCCATTCCCTCCCACTCCCAGCCCTAAGCATCCATAAATTTACTTTCTATCTCTATGAACTTACCTATTCTGAAAATGCCTTATAAGTGGAATCATAATACATGATCTTTTGGGTAAAGTCATACATAATACTGACTTTTTTCACTTAGTATAATATTTTTAGGTTCATTCATGTTGTAGCATGTGTCATTATTTTATTCTTCTTTATTGCCAAATAACATTTCATTTTACAGATATATCATATTTCGTTCATCCGTTCACCAACTGATGAACATTTGGGTTGTTTTAACTTTTGGACTATAATGAATAATGCTGCTATGTACAAGATTTTGTGTAGACATACATTTTTTTTTATTTTAGGGGTGGACTTGCTTGGTCATATGGTAGCTCTCTGTTTAACTTTTTGAAGAACTGCCAAACTGTTTCCCAAAGTGGCAGCACCATTTTATATTCCCACCAGCAACGTGCCAGTGTTTCAATTTCTGTACTTCCTTCTTCTGTAATTTAATATGCAGTCTTCCTCTCTGTTCTCTGAGCATCTTTAGAACACTCACTCATTGAAATTCCCAGCATCAATCTAAGATCCTGATGTACTAGAAGCTCAAAGATCTGAGTTTCTTTTTCTATTCTTCGGACAAGACACTTACTTTCTTTTTACCTCTGCATTCACTTACATTTCTAAAATGTTATCTACTTGTTATTTCATGAGACTACTGATATGAGACTGTGTTGTAAATTTAAGTGTGCTTCATGAGTATGAATTGCTATGGTATTACTAAATGAACTTACAACTGCTGGCCTAGAATTACCTTGGACTGTGCAATTACTCTGTTCCTCTCTCTGTATATGCTGTCCATAGCTGCACCACTTTTGCCTACAATATAATGGCTCCATCCCATAGTAATTTACCTGCTTTGTCTTTAGCCATAATATTATTTATTTACAGAGTCATTCCATGAATGTCATTATACTAAAGCAGTAACCATAGAATTTTTCATAAAACGCTTTAACTTTCTAGTCTGGTCTCAAGAATGCATATGCCAACAAATGTGGCCTAGTGTCTTTTGTCTAAACCATTTATCCATTGGCCACTAAACTCATACTGTTTCAACCAAAAGTAGATTCACAAAGAAAGAGATCTGTATGAAAGCTTCGAAACAATTAAGATCTTGGTGGCTCATGGTGATCACTCATACACAAAAAGTAGACAAAGCTGCCTAGACATATATTAATGACAGGTGTTTTTGCAGTGTACTGAATGGGTGCAGGGTCCCATGGAAAGCAACCACTCACTGGCTAGGACTATCACCATAAGCTAAGAGGGAGATAGGAAGGAAAGAATGATGAGGAAAGTCAAAGGGAAGGCTGTAACAGGCAGAATGGAATAGACAGCCAAGGCAAATGTGTACTAGGGAAAGGAAAGACTGAATCACTATTTCCTGAGTAAGAGTATGTGTACTCATCCAAGCCCCAGGATATGTGTTTCAGCACCTCCATCCATTCTTTATATCTTCCCTCAGACTTAACTATTTCAATGAGATGCACCACAATTCTAAAAACAAAAGTTTTTGTGTCATACATTTTTAACCCCCTATGAAATATCAGTAATCCATCTCTCAATTCTAGGTCTGTTTTCCCCCTCAAATGTGGATTATCACAGTATGTAGTGATAACAATTGGACATTCTCCAGCTAGCTGAATCTTAAACAAACTATGCAGGAGGCAGCCAACTGCTATTATAGGTAATTTTTAAAAACATTCTCTCAAGGGGATATGCATTTAAGATGCCTTTAATGATACACCCTGGCTTAATTCTGCAAACAAGTCCTCACACAGCCAATTTAGAAGTCACAGAACACTCAGAGCAAAGGCAGTCTCCCCAGTTGTGCTCATCTTGTGCCGAGATCACTGGCATTAGCAAAGAGAGGAAACTCTGCCAAGAATAAAGACAAGTTCTTTCTAATATCCTTAACCATCCCTGTTTTATGATTTGCTTCCTGGCAGGCCTGGATCACCCAGAGCTTAAACCCAGAGATGGAAAATACAAATGTGTTGGGCTAAGGTTTCTACCTCTTGTCAATAAAACCTCCCCCCGCTGGCTCCCTCACTGTTCTTGGTGCAGCTACCCCTCTGTTGAGGTTACCCAGGTAGGCTACTGCCTGAACTTGCTAAGCAGTCAAGGCTACACATTTCTCAACAAATTCCAGGCTACACATTTACCCTCAGAAATACAAGAATTGTCATGTTCAAATACCCCACATGCTGCCAGGAGGCCAGCGATACTTGCTCCTGGAGCCCCGGCAACGATTAGAAACATACTGATCCCAGTTGCTTTCATCTCTGATTCTTCCAGCCCAAGTTCGAATAAGATGACCAACATTCCCATAGCATTTCATCATTTCAGAGAAGGCTGATACCTAGAAGACAATGTTGGGATTCTTCCAGGAATCTGAGCTCTGAATCATCTGCCACAGACACAGCAGGGCTCTAACTTAAAGAGTTCAATTGAGAGGCTTGCTCTTGCTTCTCTGCCGCCACCAAAAGACACCCTTTCCTTCCCCTGGCCTTTCTGATTAAAACCCCAGACTCTGAGGTAACAGATCTAAAGAAAACGGGCTCTCTTTTAGGGTTGGGGGCAGGGAATAAATTTTTAAGCATAGGAGTGATATAAAGGACCAGAGGTAATTTTTCAGAAGCCTTTTCACTTTGCCAGAAGGTTGCTGTTGACAAATCTGACCAACATACAAACCTCAGCCATTTATCAACTGGAATATTAATTCCAGTGCTGTTTTCTTCATTATTGATGCTCCAGATCCTGGAAGATTGATGTGGCTGGCAAGGTTACAGGGATTCAGCCCATTTTTCTAGGAACATTTTGATCTAATGGAGCTCAGCAAAGTTGGGCAGGGGAAGAAAAGCTCTCAGCGGGGACAATGAATGTCTACATAATTTGACAGCAGCCTGTCTGTGCATGTCACACGATGTGTCATTTTGTGTCTGTGCACGTGCTTGAGGAGACACGATGAAAAGACAGACAGAAGAGTCAGGGGCACATCACAGTGTTATAAGAATTTCACATGAGGACTTGAGAAAATGTCTTATAAAATGAATAAGAAGTTTTAAATTGCTGGGTATGTGCAATTTGCTGAGTTTGGAGTAGAGAGTTCTAATTACTGAGCTGACAAATATGAGTTATGCCTGGAAACATTTTTAGCTTATTTTTTAATATGCCTCAAGTTCAAAGAGGCATTTTTCTTTTCTCAGAGCTGTTGGGTAATATGCCCTACATCTTTGACTTTACAGACCCTATTTTCCTGCAATAAAAATCAATGAAGGTCATCCGGTAAGGAATGTCATCTCTCAGGACCAACAATGCCTTCAAGGTGACCAGAGAGATAACTGTTCTTGAGCAGCCATGTTAAGCATGTCATTTATTTTCTGTATTCTCATGCTTTAACATCTTGGGCCTTGGTGACACTGGAGCCATCAAGGGTCACCCAGTTCCTACAGATAGTGAAGAATTCGCCCCTGAGTGTACCTTTCATATACAAACTAACTAATCCATAACCAACACCCCAAGCACATTTCTTATCAAACCATCACTCCTCAGGCACATTATCCATGTGCCTGGTTACCCCAGAGCCAGGTATCAGAAAACCAGGGACAGCTCCTACACCCCACACCCATTGAAGTTCCTCAAGCCATCCGATCCTAAACCTGCTAACCCTGCCTCACCAGGCCTTCCTGAGGAAACCATAATAAAGGCTCTAATCCACATTTTCCCCTCACTCCCTCTATCTCCTGATTGACCCAGGTGCTTCCCCCCGGAGCCCCCCTGAGATGTGGCATGCCCTCTTCTCTTGGGAACTATCAATAATGAATTATTTGTTCATCAATGGCAGTCATCTCCTGACCTTTTGGCCTCACCGTACCTGCAGAATAACAAAACCAACATTTTAAAGCAGCAGCACCTCTCATGAACTGTAGCTGAAAGAACAATGCTGAAGGATTCTTTCTGCTGTGGCCTCAAAGGGTGAAATCGAAGCTTCCCAGGCACCAGCACCTCTGTGCAGGGCAAACTGGCCTGAACAATGTTTTAGTGGTTGCAGTGATTTGCTGTTTAGTGGAGGGAAGACCCCATCGCACAGCACTGGTGTAGGAAAGTTTATCACCCAGCTCCTCCTGCCTCCATGACATACACACACAGCACAAGCCGTAAAACAGGGCACCTTCAAGATTGTCCAGCAGGACACTCCCTGGTATCTCGAAACAACTATGATCAGCAATATCTGAAATCTGCCCTGCAGAGTCTCTGACAAATACTGAGGTGGCTGAGCTTAAGGTTCCAATTTGATCATATTTCCATTTTTCCATTGCTGGCTAAAAGCTTTTCCCTTGGAATTCACGGGGCTGGTTGAGGGTCAAACCGATTGATATCAAGCTCAAAAAGGGAAATGAAGCAGGGTTCCTCATATGGATGGATGAACACATATGGGGTGGGTGGCTCAGAACTGAAAGGCTCCATGACACTGATACAGTTCTCTTTGCAATTTTACCTACAGTCAACCTTGCAAACAAAACAGATACTAACCAACAGATACCCACAATGGCTAGATCTTGGAAATGCATGTGCAAAATGGAAGAAAATCTGTCTTCTCTTGCCTTCTAGACAATTCCTGTTCATTGTCCCTATACCCAGAGAAAATACTGAACAAATTGGAGGTCCTGGGAGATTACACCTGATTTCAGTCCTAGAGATGAGATACATTATCTTCACTCATTTGGTAGTTACAAGCTCTGCTTTTTAATTGTCAACACAACAGCAAGGGATAGAATGCAATCAAGCACAAATCACAGTGTCTGGATGTTAGTCTTGTTTTGGAAGAGAAATAGTCATAAACAAACAGCTGACTTACCAATTCAGAAATGTATTGCATCAGAAATGTATTCCTCTCATCCTGGCCAATGAGAGGAAGCAAAGAACCAAGTTTTTCCTGACTAGAGTATTCAGTCAACTGTGCTGTTTTATTTCCTTAACCTTCTTTTTTAAAAATATTTTTATTTATTTATCTTTAGAGGGGAAGGGAAATAGAGAGAGAGAGAGAAATATTAATGTATTAGTGCCTCTCACGCATCCCCTGCCAGGAACTGGCCTGCAACCCAGGCATGTGCCCTGACTGGGAATCAAACCTCTGGTTTGATCCTCTGGTTTGCAGGCCTGTGCTCAATCCACTGAGCCACACTAGCCAGGGCATCCTTAACCTTCTTAAAAATGCATCAGTAACCTAGAACTAGTTGACAGTTGACATGTCCCCATAGGGTAAAGACAAGTCAACTTCAAAAATACAGAACCATAACTTAACTCAATTAGCAATGATAATGCTTTTTCTGGAAGAATTCTAGGCCTCTTTCTTTAGCAAATCAGAAACCAGAACATGAAAAATGATTCAAGGAACAACAAGTATGAAGAGGGCTAAACAGTTTCATCTGAATTAACACAAGCTCATTACTTATCCAAAGAAGGAGTAACTACTTACCAACACCTTGTCTTGATTTTACTTTCCCAAATCCAAACCATGAGAAATCTGAAAACCACAACAAAACATAAAATAAACTTCGAAAGAGAAGCAGAAAAGAGAGGAATTCAGCACTGTCCTTACTAAAATAACTCCAGGTCCCCAAAAAGCTCCACTGAGGACTGACACTTCCTCTCAAAACAGCCAACCCTTGGATTTGTGTGTAAAGATTTATTTCTCATCCCGAGAACATGAAAGTTCAAGTCAGATAAGGGACAGCAGCCCATCTTCAAGAAAAATGGCCAAAACCCAGGGTTAAAAGCTCTAAGCAGTTTTCTTCCTCCCTGGGTTTCTCTCTTTCCCCAAAGCATGGAGTCTAACAGAAAAGTTGCACAAAGCATCTGACAAATGCACTGAGGTTCTGAACCTCAGCCATGTAGGAAAATAAGAAGAAAAAGCAGATTTTTTTCTGGAGCTGAGACAGGCAGTAAAAGAGGACCATGAAATCCTGTGGGAGAACTGACCCTTGGGCTGGATGGGGATTCAAGAGGGAAAAAAGGAATCGGTCCTACATGGATTCCACGACTAGACTTGCTGTGTGATGGTGGCCGGAGGAGCAGCTCAAGGCAGAGCTGTGCCTCTTACAACACAAGGCTCCGCTGGCACGTGTAAGGCAAGGCCTGCCAAGTGTTCTGAGGCACTCCAGTGAATGAAGCCACGATGAAATGTCTATTGTTTCCTGGGCCCAACTATTTTCCTCCAGATAGTTTCCACTGGGCCCAAAGTGAATTCTGCACAGCGGGGAAATCCTTGGATACAAGGCCAATAAAGGAATGCAACCCAAGTAAGGAACTGTTTTTCTGAGATTTTTTAGATCTGTAGTGGTTTTTACAGAAATTAGTATAAAAAGCTGTGTAGAAGAGCCAATTTAAATGAAAGAATGTATAGAAAGCCATTTGCACACTCAAAAATGTATTACAAAATTGTTGTCATGATTACTATTTTTTTCAAGTATATTTAGCCTTTCCTTCACTGGCATTCTAGAATTTCTGTTCTCCAAATCCTAAGCTGATTTTCCTTCTGATTGATATTCCTGTGAATGCTTTCTTCCAGGTTTTAGAAGACAGGTGGGAGATGGGATGAAGGTCTGGCCTCTATCCAATGCCAGATAAAGATTCCTTTGCACAGAAGACAGTGAATCGCATTCACAGGGTCCTGGGTCTAGCAAGGCAGGGCTGTGCCTGTGGATTCCTTAACTATGACCAATCTCTTCCAAAACAGAATGTATTTTCCTACTGATCACTTTTTGTTTTCTGTATTTGTTTGATTTATATAGTTTTGATTAAACTGTATATTGAATTCTTAAGACTGCTTTTCTATCTGGACATTTCTTCAAAACAATATTTCTCTTTTACAGAAAACCCACTGAAGGACATAGCCATCCCTCACCAATGCACACAGGTCAGGTTATTTTCATTCATTTCCTACAACAAACACAACTGCAAGAAACATCTTTACACATCTGAAGTGTTCCCATCCTCATTTTCAAAAATTATTCCCTCAGGGTAAATCTCAGAGACAGAATCATTGGATCAAAAAGATGAATATTGTTAAGGCTCTCAACACATGTAGTCCAATTGCTTTCCCACTGTATCTGGTTTACTGTCACAAACAGTGTATGAGAGGGTAGGAGTGTATTTCCAATAAGAAAGATAAGGGTGAATCATTTCCTACATCCATCCTTCCATTGGTATGTCTCCACCTAACTGAGCAGAGACCTGGAAAATACCTACCCCTGACCTGTCCCACAGGAAACCACTCACACCTCATGTACCTGAGCTGGTGTTCAGCATGGCTACAGAAAGGACTGCGGATTAGAGAGAGAATCAGAATAAGGCAGATAACACTTGTGCAGTCATTATAATTCACCAAGTGCCTCCCCCAACCCTGGTCACTTCTCCCTTGGTCCTCAGCCAAACCCTGTAATATATTATCCTCTATTCATTGACAAAGAATTGAGACTCAGAGAGGCTGATAGACTTAGCAAAGGTAACAGCCCACAGTGACTCAGCTAGGGGTTATTTTTTTATTCTCTAAGAGTTGCTCTTCCAAAAAGAACCAAAATTAGCCAAAGTTCACAACATTATCATCAGGATTCAATGTTATATATAAAAAAACACTTTAAATAGTCATATATTATCATTTATTTATTCAACAGGCATAGCAGAGAGTTCAAAGAGAAATGAGCTGCATAGCCTTCTGTCTTCTAAGAGTTTACAGTAAAAAATCCACTACCCTGGAAGTATGTCCAGGGTGTATGGGACTCAAAGGAGAAGCATCTGTCCAACTCTAAGGGGTGGGGCCTAGGAGTTAAGGCAGAGTTCTCTGGCTTCTGGACAACAGGTTAGAATTAGCTAAGAATGGGAAAAGCAGGGGGCATTCTTAGTGTAGTAATCCAGTCATGGCTAGCATGGGCAGTCCTGCCTCTGTCAAGGGGCTGATGTGGAGGGAGCTGAGAAACAAACTAAGGGCCAGGCCCAGAGTTTACATTTTATAGGTGACTCCTCTTCACCATCCCCCAAAGAAATCTCAGACGAGGCAGTAACAAGATCAAGATTAGTTTTAGAAAAATCCTTTGGGCTGCAGTGTACAAACAAGATTTTGAGAGGGCACGAGACTGGTTAAGGAGGCTTCTTAGACAAAGCAAGGCATGAGAAAACTGTGGCCTGAATCAGGATCTGGGGAGGGGAGGACAGGGAAGACAAAGAGATGGCTGTCAGGCATATTTAGGGGGATCAACAAGACATGGTGACTGATTGCAAAATGAGGGGAGTATGGGAAGTAAACAACAAAGGTTATGGGTTTGGACAATGAGATGTATGATGATGTTGCTCCCAGTGTCTCCAAGGAACTTAGAAGGAAAACAGGGTTAGGAGTTTAAAGTGACAACATTGGTGTGAGGCACAAATCCCAAATTAAGACGTCTATGTAAGGACAGGTGTTTGGATGACAATATACATGTCTAATGCCCAGAATGGACTTGCCCAAGTTCAAAATCTCATAGTTTTATGGGAAAGCAGAAGCTAGATCCTGTACCTAGGACACATTTCTTGTTTGGGTACATAAGACAGCCTGTTTTGCAGGAAAATAACAAAAGGGCATCCAGCTGAGGCTAACTTAAGACAAACTTATGCCTAACTTGTTAAAAAAATTTTTCTAAGTTTTCTTTAACAGTAACACAATTATTATGTAAGGCAGAATACAATCTTCCTGATCGTACCTCAGAGTACTTGGAAAATTTAATGGACCAGATTAGCAAGGTCACACTGGTACATCTGTCCCACCTCCCCTACCCTAGAAGCTGTCCCTTGTCTGGCAGTTCTTTCACGATGGATTTAAGCAGTACTCTTAAAACTTTAACACTAAATTTCACCAGCAAAATTTTCCCACAAGGCCAAAAAGAAACAATTTCTCAATTTCCTGTGATGTTTCACCCATTGGGAGTCAAGTCTTGCCAAACATTCTTCTATATTCTGTTTAATAAGAGACCCTTTATTCACTGCAAAATAAAGGGCTCCTTCAAAAGTAAATGTAGTTGCAGTGTGCTTAAAGGAACTCTCCCTTTTGGAATCTAGACCAACAAGGATTCTAAATTATGAAATTAACCAATTAAATCCATTGTATGTTGAAGAAAGTTCAATCTTCCCTGAGCAGAGAAAAGAAAGGTATTAAAAAAAAAATAGCGCATTATCACACTGACAAGTCTAAGAGGAGACTTAAACTAAATAAAATAAATGTCTAGAAAGATTGCTTTTCAAACATTTCCCAAAGGAAACAGCTAGAATTTGGGGAGCTGAAAAGGAATATTTATGACGCCAGCAGGAGAATCAGAGGAAGGAGCAATGAACAGGCAAAGTGGAGAAATTCAATCTTCCCAGTGGGTGCTGACTTGCGCACACACACTAAACAAGGTTGTTAGAAGGGTTCTGAACTCCAGAGAATACAATTTCTGGATTTTTTTCTGTCAAGTTACAGAAAAATCATTTTAGTGTGTCAGGAGAAAAATCAGTTTCCCTCCCTTTTAACTCTAGAGAAATTAAAATTTGCAGTGTTCTCAGATTAAGTTCTTCATGTATTAAGGCAAGACTTACCACCCTCCATCCCCAAGAAAAGCATCTCAAACATTCTAAAGGAAGCAAACGGAAAATTACAATTCATTGACAGAAATGTACTCTACCTCCAATTTCTTATGGCCATACCCACTCCTTAAAGGACACACAAAAGAGGAGCTTTTAGCTGCCTTTGTTGCAGGAAAGTGTGAACTGGACAGTGTTGAGCTCAGAGTAGACATTCAATCAGTGCTTGATGGAGTAGCCAATTGCCTGTTACCTCAGATAAGGAGCTAGAAGGACTGGTCATTGAAGTGGAGAAGAAGTGGATGCAATGGATGCTTCACTGATAATATACACATCTCCTTGTCCAACTGACACACAATCAGAGTGAGTAATAGTTTGCTTCAAATAAATCCCAGTTTCTCAGGTTACTGAACAGTGTATTTTGGGGCCAAGTTTCCACTTAAATTTAATTGTAATTTTTCACTTAAAGACACAACCTTTATATATAAGTTCCATACCCACTGACTAGGAAGTGGACTTGCTTTGAGTTAAATTGGTTGTGGAAATACAAAGGTTCTGGAATCCCCCTGACCAACACCAAACTCCAATGTGACTTATTATACTGTTTTCCAAGTAACACTGAACACCTACCTCCGGTATAAAAAATATGAAGAAAAATATGTGTATTTTAGCTAAAACTGCTAGCTGCTCTCTGAAATCTTTATTTTCCTCTTTTTTGTTTCCCAGGCTCACAGCTAGACTACAGTGACTGGCCCTGTTTGCAGTTAGTTGTGGGAATACCACTGAATTAAAGGCACCGGACAGTGGGCAGAGTGATGGATACCACTTCTGGGCCTGGCCCATCAAGACTTCCCATGCATGCTACCCCACGCTTTCATCTTTACTTATCCAGAATGAAGATAACATTTATATAAAACTTGGATGTTATGACTTGAAGTTAGCAGAGAAATTCTCTGCTAATTCTCCCAGTGAGTGTAGACAGTGTAGAAACTGAGTTATTCTACTGAGGTCCCAAAAAGCTGAGCTTCTTTATTCTTCAGCTCTCATTCATATGCAGGAACTATTGTGTTTGAACCATTATCCACTTTGGTACCTATTTATCATGATGGGGAGCCTACCCTAACTAATACATATACACAAAGAAAAAGTACATTTTTTTTTGTTTTTTGGGGATTTTTATATAGCCACTACGGAAAGGAATACGGAGGTTTCTCAAGAACCTTAAAAATAAAATTACCATATGATCCACCAATTTCCATCCTGGTATTTACCTGAAGGAAATGAAAATGGTAACTCAAAAACATGTATGCACCCCCGTGTTTATTTCAGAACTATTTACAATAGCCAAGATGTGGAAGCAACCTAAGTGCCCATCAGTGGATGAATGGATAAAGAAAATGTGATAGATGTATACAATAAAATATTATTCAGCCATAAAAAAGAAGAAAGCCTTGCTATTCGCAACAACATGGATGGACCTTCAGGGTATTATACTAAGTAAAAATGTCAGACAAACACAAATACCATATCATCTCACTGGTATGTATAATCTTAAAAGAAAACAGAAAAATATTCCCAAAGATACAGAGAACAGATTGGTGGTTGCCAGAGGCAGGTGGGGGCTGAGAGAGTTGAACAAAATCATTGAAAGGGGTCAAAGGTAAAAGTTTCAATTGTAACATGATTAAGTCCTGCAATGTAATCTACAATGTGGTGACTACAGTTAATAATACTGTAGTGCATATTTGAAAGTTGCTAAGATAGTAGATCTTAAAAGTTCTCACTATAAGAAAAAAATTGTAACTATGTAAGGTGATGGATGATACCTAGACTTATTGGGATGATCACTTTGCAATATATACAAATATTGAGCCCTGGCTGGTGTAGCTCAGTGGTTTGAGCATGGGCCTGTGAACCAAAGGATCACGTTTCTATTCCCAGTCAGGACACATGCCTGGGTTGCAAGCCAGTTCCCAGCGGGGGACTCATGAGAGGCAACTATACACTGATATTTCTCTCTCTCTCTCTCCCTCCCTTCCTCTCGAAAGATAAATAAATAAAATCTTAAAAAAAAAACAAATATTGAATCATTATATTGTACACCTGAAAATATATGTAAATTGGATCTTAAAATTATTTATTTATTATTTAAGGTTTTATTAACTGACTTCATGTCTTCCCAACCCACCATCACAAATTTGAAATTGTGTATCCATGTATATTTGCCTTTTCTGGAAAGTCCACAGATTTTATTAGACTTTCAGAGGCTTCTTTACATTCAAATGCTAAGAACCACTGAAGCACATATAAATGCATTGTATTCTGTGGTGATATTCTATTTAATCACGTTCCCTATCAATGGTTGATCTGGGTGCTGAGAATCATCTATCATCTGTCACCTCGATTTCTGCAGCAGTCTTCTAATTTGACTCCTGCTCTATTCTTGCCTCCCCTAATCTCTTCTCCACAGGGCTGCCAGAGTAATAACTTTCAAGTGTGAATCAGATTATTTCATTCCCCTGCTTAACATCCCTTAAAGGTTTCTTATTGCATTTAGCACAAACTTTTGATTATCTGTAGAGTCTCACATGCCACCGCCTCAGCCAATCCTCACAGTCGCCTCACCCCTCTATTTCATAAATGGCCACAGTGTGGCCTCTTTCCTGTCTCTGCTCACTTTGTACTTTTTCTCCCCGGGATCATCTTCTTGGCTCTTC